CACTTAGTAAAAATTTAGCGAAACTAAAGGTTTTACCGTTTTGCTAAATCCAAAATGAGTTTAGACAAACAACCTTAATTACTGTGAACTAATTGCTATTCTATAAACTAATTAAATTTGTAATTACAAGTGCTAATATAATGATAATAATAATAATAACAAAGATAATAAATATAATAGAAATAATAATAATAATAAAAATAATGATAATAATTAAAATAATAGAAATAAGCATTATAACAATTATCTGGCTTATAAAGCTTATCAGGTAGATCTGGTAAATCAAATAAATTCTTAGAATCCTAAGAATCCTAAAATCAGGAATTATGCTGATCATCTAATTTCATGATCAAAAATTAATTCCAATAACTTCTGCAGATCATTTGATAATTCTTTATAGATCAACTTTTCAATAGTGATTTTTTAGCTGATAATAACATATAAGATAAAAGAGATATTAAATAAAATAAAAAATATATATCATAGAAGACATAAAAGACATATATGACATATAATTCAATACATCATCTATATCATCTTGTATAATAATTACAAATATTAAAAATATAATTTAAATTTATTTTAATTTAAATCATAAAGAATATCCAATTAAATTTTGAAATATAATTTTTAATACCAATTTTATATAATTTAATAATATATATCAAATTTTTTTTCTTAATAAAATTAAAATTTTTAAATAAACTAATTACTAAAAAAACTGATATTGGATTTTGATTCTTTTTAGTTACTAATTTTAATAAAATCTGCCTTTCTTATTAATAATTACTTTTTTTAACAAATTTTTATTATGAATAATATTATTTGTAGTTATTTCTTTCATTCATATTTTATGTTTATAGTTATTTTATGATTAAAATTAAAAATTGAAAGATTTATTTTATGAAAAACATAAATTATTATAATGAACTTATACAAATTATTCAAAGTATAAAAGCTATTAATTTATAAAAAGTGTATTTAAACCTTTTAATTATGCATTTTGTTTAATTTATTAAAAGAATTAAAAATAATAGATTACTTATAAAATCACAATCCTTAAAAGATCTTATTATTTCTAAAATTTTAAAAAAACTCTGCTTTTTTGGTTAAAGATTTTACAGTAGGTAATAATAGAATATCACTTTTTATTACAATTGCTAATATTAGACATCTAGAATAATTTTTTTTTTGGATTATGGATGGAACTCTTAAAGAGTATCAACTATATTTAAACAATTATATATGATTCATAGATGTGTTGAAGAAAATGAGAATTTACAAATTATACCACTTATTTATGCATTAATATACAGCAAGTCTAAGAAACGTTATCAAAATTATTATAGAATTTAAATGATTTTAATGAAGAATAATATTGATTGACAGATTTTGAAAAAGTTGCAATTAATACAATTCATACAATGTATAAAGGATATCTATTTTCATTAGCTCAAAATGTTTACCTAAACTGGGCTGACTATTCAATGTGAACATTTAGAACTTGTTTTTTACCTCCTAATGATATTGCCAGCAGAAGCTCATAAATGATAGAATGGTTTGAAAATTATTATGTTTATGGTAGGATAAGACGGATCTATTAAGAAATGTGAAATGTGGTTCGATCTGCACCATTTTTCCACCTTTACTTTGGTCAATATAGAATCAATTTTGAGAGGGGCAGCAAGACCTTTACAAAAAAAAGGATCATTTACATGAAACCCGAATTCAAGCAGTGTATAATGATCGTGATAATAGATTTCTTAGAGGTATTGCTCATAATATTTCATTTGTCAAAATGATTGTCGACAAAATGGGTGTCGGTCAAGTTCTGATCATGAGATATTGACGATTTAAAATTGACATTTCATTATCAAATTAGTCTATTATATTGTTTGATAATATCTGTGATCGGTTGATTTTTAGCTTATTAGAATCATTTTGAAAATATTTATGAGGGTCGAAACGATAAAAAGAATCAATATGATCCCAGACACAAGATCAGACATTTTCTCTAGAGAGAGAATGTCATATTCGTCTGGATAGCTTGAGAGTTGTCAAATCATTTAATAAGTAAAATAGGCGCAATTTCAACAGTTTGTTAACATCTGAACATAATGACATTTTTAATGTATTCAAATATATACGATCAAGGATTTAATAATAATAAAAAAAATTACGCCCGACTTTAAAATTATAATATATATTAAAAAAAAATTAAAAATTAAAATTAAAAGAGGGTTGTTAATAAGAAATAAAAAAAATGATTATTAAGTATCAAATAATCTATATAACAAAAATTCCTAAGTTCAATTAATTTTCTTTTCTAAAATGTTTATAATTATATAACAAATATGCAGTTCATGAATGAAAGGAAAAAAAAACTGTATACAAGAGATTAAAATTAACTTTCCGACCTGCGAAATTCTTTGAATTTTTTTTTTTTTACAAAAAAGTCTATTTAACAATTTGTTTTTAGGAGTTATTATAATACTCCAAAGTTGGACTTGGTATTATAATATTAATATCTATTTCGTTAATACCAAGCCTCAATGCATTATTATCATCGGTAGAAGGTTTTTTCTGTAGACGACGTTTCACAACACCTTTAAGATTACTGAGACTAGGATGTCTTAATAAAGTGGCGATTGAAGAATTGTCAGTATTAGATCTTATGGGAGTAGTTGATACAGAAGAAATTTGATTTTCATTTTTTGCTAGAGAAGAATCGAATGAGGCTGATCTTCTATGAACTCGTCTTCTACTTTGTCTTACATAATCCAAAGCTGGAGGAAGAAGATTATTTGAGGTGGACGATTCTGGTACACGAGGAATACTTGGTACCAAAGATTCACGTGGACTTGAAGGAGCCGAATGAATCTCAGGTGTGATTACAGGTACATCATCTTCATCAGGCATATTAAGATGCCATATTGGACTATCGCTTCGAGCGTATAAATGATTTGCTCTTGAATTATTAATAGAAGATACACCACTTCTTGGACTTGTAGTCGAAGTAGCTAAAGTCCTACTCCTCCTAACTGATGATCGTTGGTACAATGTTGGTGATGTGTCAACAGAAGGAGAAGAATAAAAGGCAAAATTTTGTGAAGCCAAGTCTAATTGAGGAGGTGTCTTTGAACGATGATTAATTGGAAGAGAAGGAATAGCCGGATATGAAGATAAAGTTGGAGTTAAAGTTGGTGTTAAAGTTGGTGTTGTAGACACACTTTGTGATGGAGAAGTTGGACGAGAACTACTTTCTGAACGTAAAAATAACCTTCCTAAGGCTTGAGCTAAAGAACGCTGACTTTTCTTTTTATGTAATGGAGGTTGTAAAGGTAAATGTTGATCCGAAACCGAAGTCGGAAGGGATGTTGTATTTGAATTAATCGTGAAATAATCAGGGGTAACAGGGGAAGGAGTTGGGGTAACAGGACGAGAATTATTATGAGTAGAATCACCACTACCATCTTCATAAAGGTTTGGAGTCGTGGGTCTTGTACTACTTCTCGAATGATTTTGAGAATGTGAATCAATTGGGGTCATTGGACGAGAAACAACTTCTTCTTGAGGTAAAGTGTCGTTAATATGATTGATGACATCATCATAAGTTGGTAATCTACTTTCACTTAAATCATTATTTGAAAACGTGAAGCCTGTATCATCATCGGGTATTGTCGTAACGATAATTGGAAATCCTATTTCTAAGGTCTTCTCTGCTCTGGATTCAAAAGACATGGTGATCTTTAATTTATGCCTGACACGCATTAAAGGACTTTTTATGGTTGCTTTCAAATTAGTTCTCTTAGCATTAACCTTATTATTATGACGAGAACTATGTTGTACAAAGGGTAAATTATAAGTTAAAGGATTGTCCCAAGTATCTTCATCATAAGAAATATTTAAGGAAGTTGGATGAATTGGATGTGATCTCTTTCGTTTTGCCATTGATGAACTACTTAATTGAACATTTCCAACAAGTTGATTGGGTTCAATTGAAAATTCTTGAAGATCTTGAGGTGACGGTTGAATCCTAAAAATATATAACGTCAGATTGGTTATTTTAAAGAAAATGAAGGTTGACAAATTGTTATGAGGAATAGAATAATTTTAATTTACCTGTATTTTTCAGATTGTATTAAATCAAAAGTGACCTTTCTCACTTTTCCTTGATCACAAAGAGGAAGTAACCTTAATCGAATTAATAAAGAATTATCATTTACGCAAATGATGGTTGGAATATCTAATTCATATTTTAAGATGTCTTTTCTTTGACCTCGATAAACTTTTGTAGGAGGGGCGGGTAAAAGTTCTCTGCTACAGGGTAAATAATGCCTTGAGATATTAATGGACCTTTCGACACGACTCTGCTTCGTCAGTAAAGAATTTGGTTGTACTGTAGCTACTAATTTATATCTTATAAGACCAAATGATGTAACGTAAGTTTGCGGAATATTCCCATTGATATGAAATTCATAATCCAAATCCGTCACTCCACTTGGTAAAGTAGTCTTCTCGCTTAAAATTTTATCCAATTTCACTATATTCATACAAGAATATTGATTTTCCCAATCAGAATATTCGGATTTTCCCTTTAATTTAATTGAAATTAATTTGGTTTTTAATGGTTTCGATAATATTATACGTAGTTTGCCAGAAACTGAATGTGTAATATCTTTATTAGGTGCTCCATACATAACCAGTTTGCCATCATTATATGGCAAGATATCAACCGCAATAATACTATTGTTCATTTTATTTTTTTGAGATTTTGAAAAGGTTTTTTTTTTTTAAAAAAAAAAAATAAACCAAAAATTATTTATAAGGAAAAAAATTATTTTTTAATTTTGTTAAAAAAAAAGGCTGAGGTTTATATATTATTTTCGAGAAAAAAAAAAAAAACGTGGTTAATGTATGTTTACATCAACAATTTTCTTAACTAATAAAAATGTCGACTAGTTTACACTCCACATAACCCATTTGGAAATTTTTAATTAATTATTTATATATGTGGATTATTTATTATATTACTCATATTACTCTGTGATATAATCAAATAAAGCCGATCAAGTTCGTATTTATCACCTAATTTTGCAAAGAAAATAATTATAAAAAAAAAATATTAATTTTCTTGCGGATAAAATAAAATTCTTTTAAAATTCTTTGCTATTTATTTTTAGCCAAATTCGGTTCCTTCCTCAATCAGAAAGTTTGCAAGTAAAGAATTCTTTGATGTCACTCCAAAAAAATCATGCCAACAAAGGGGGTCATGCGTTATAAAAGGACCATTGAAGATCAAACAAAAAGTGTATGATGATAAAAGAAAATTAGTTCCATCCTTTTATCTTTCAAAAGATAAAGGAGAAATGGTGGCATGTTACGGATATTCATTTAATAATTATTTATAATTATCATACTTTTTTTTTTTAAAAAAAAAAAAAAGAAAAAATTATTCTTGTCCTTATTTGGTAATTAATATTTTTTTAAACACCTATCATTGATAATTATCTCTTTTTTCTCGCAACAATATTTTAACAAAGAACTTTCGTAAGAAGATAATTTTTTCTTACCTTCAAAAAAAAAAAAATACCAATAAACGCATGACCGTTTACTTAGAATAAAAGACTGGGATTGTGATTCCATTAATATAACTGTGCATTGAAAGGTTTCATTTAAAGTGTGTAATTAATAAAACTCTTAAATTCTTTATTTAATTTTTTTTTACCTCCAAAACCTTACCGTAATTTCCAGAAAAGTGCCATAAAGAAATTTGATGTGTTGACAATCCCCGCACATTCTACAACTTACTATTTTTAGATCATTACACAATTACCAATTTGGATCTTAACACAATTTGAGGAATAAATTTATTGTTTCTCAAACAAAAGCCTATTCTGTTACACAACGCAAAACAAATCAGTTCATGCGGTACTTTACTATTGTGTCTGGATCTTACATTTTTCGTCGCCAATAATCCATGGTTTTTAAACAAGATGTGTACGATTTTTAGTTCATAAAACCTTAAAAATACCTTGGTTGCGTTGATTCGCTCACGAAATTTAATCATCTTGCAGTTCTATTTCTCGATTGGTTTAGAAATTCTATCCCTTTTTTTCGACTTTGTATTTTTTGTTTGGTTGGCATTAAACCTTGGTCAGGATTTAATATTAAACTAAATAATTCGTTAATTTTTTCTCTTTCTATAAAAAAAAAGGCGATGTTCAATTGCTTTATCAATCATCTTCCAGTACGGAATTTACATATGTATACAAATGATGACTCGGGAAATCCCGACAATCATATTCGGCTCTATGGGAGTAATTTAATCACCATTCTATTTATAAACTAAATATTACCGAATCCACGAACTAAATTTTTGTTTATAAATTTAAAGAATCGTTTGCCAATATATGATGATGATGTCAGTATTGATATTAATAATCCTTATCCATGTTCCATATTCCAATATATCATCAGCTGATCAAGAATAACCGATCAATTTTATGATCTGATCAGATTTATTTTACACAGACAATAATAAAATTTACAAATAAATATTTTAAGCATCCCACTCATTTAACCTTTACCATATTTGGATTGCCAATAAATTCTTATGTCATTTTCATTAATCTCGAATTTTTTCGTGATCCATAAAATATCTTCGAGATAATCCGATGATTTATCAATCAACTTTTTCACAAAAGACATTCGCTCTTCTTCGATACTATATTTAGGGTTCCATTTATAAAGAAGTCAATAATAAGCGAATTTAAAACGAAATGTACATTCATATATTTGTATTTGATACTTACTTTGAATTACTATATTTTCTTCCTATAGGATTTTCTTCTTTAGTTATCAACAATGAATTAAAAAATGATAAATTTGATTCAAATAATTTTGAAGGTCGAATCATACGAACTTCAATACGAAATACAAGTAATAAGATATGAATTAATTCAATTAGACTTTCCACAAGAGTCCTGTAAGGTAAAATATTTATAATCATTCAATGTCCCAATAATTTATAATAAAATAAAAAAATAAATAATGACACTGACTTGTTAAATATTTTACCCTCTTGTGCATCATCAACTTTAAATAAATTACACATCCTTCCCATTGCATCATTAAGATATGCATCTCGATTTTCTATATCATCAGGAATAGTTATAACAGATTCCACAACATTAGAAATATGAGACGTATCTATTCCTTCTTCAGGCTCCCATATAAATGATTCGAATAATATTCTCGATGAAAGTAAGAATGAATCTATCATCTTTACTATTAAATCAGGAAATTTAATACCTCCCTTGGTAATTACAAAAGGATATTACAATATAAATTATATAAAACTATTTACCTCCCATACCACATTGTTTAATACATAAATGGTCTTTTGGAGCTTTACGTGCCTTTTCAACTAAAGTATTAATAGAACTGATTTGTTCCATACACAACGAATTCCATATTAAATGCAATAATCCGTTTCTTAGTGCTACGTCGCTTATTAATTTTGCTTGCTCAATTGCAATTCTCAGTAGATCTGTCCAAAAAAAAAAAATTATTAAAAAAAAAAGTAAGAGAATTATCGAGAAATTAATTAATATATTACGAGTATTATCTCTATCCTTTTTAAACATTTGTCCAAATGTCCAACTTCGGTATATCCAGTATAAATCTGACTTAGGTGAAGTTGAAGAAGTGCTTATCTCCTAAAACAAATCATAATAAGCCTTTTATATGGTATGATAATATTATAATACAAATAATAATAAGGTATTACATCCAAATTAACTTTTCCATCAAATTTCAAATCTTTAATCGCAGATATTCTTGTTAAACTAGTTTTCTCAAACTAAATAATGACAATTACCTATTAGCATATTAAATACAAATTAATCTTTTAGCAAATTTATTTAGTGATGTATACCTTATTAAAGTTTAGGACAGTTAATCCTATTTCTGCAGCTATCATAGGATGTGCATCTTTAACTAAATTCCAACAAGTCTCCAACTTAGTAACCAAAGACTTCCAATCAATCTGGCCCCCAAAAAAAGTTGTTAATCATAGCAACTTAGTACTTATAGACTTTATAGCATACCTCATGGTCATCTACAGATGGATTTCCATATTGACATGCAATCAACAATAATAAAGCATGCCCAATCTATAAAAACAAAAGGAAATTAGCAAATTATCAGATATCTACTGGACATTTAGGTTATTAAATATACCTTCTCAGTGTTCAAACAAAAATTGATAATTTTACTAAATACAAATTTATCTTCAAAGCTTATTGTAACTGAAGAAAAATTGTTTAATATAATAAATATAAAATTTGAATTATCTTTTAATATAAAATTAGTTAACGATGCTAAGCTGGTTCGCTCAAACCAAAATAAAAATAATCCCAGCCAATCTTTTGTTGAAATCGGTATTCTCTTTCTTATTGTTTCAATCCATTCGTTTGGTGACGTTGATATTATTAGTGGCTTTAATAAAAAATCAGCTAAAAAAACAAATAAATTAATCAGAAATATACTGTATATATATATATATATATATATATATTTGGATTTTAAATCTCATTGAGGATTATTTACCTAATTGCCATTTTCTTTCTTCATTATCCAATATTAAGTAAGCTCCATCATCTGGTGTATCCAAACTCTTCAATAAGAAGGAAGACATGAAAGTACTTGGCCCAATCCCTTTTGTTGTTTCATCTTCATGTTTAGCTTCTTCAGTATTTGTGCATCCTCCAAAATGAAATTTCACTGACCGTTCAAACGTTTCATCGTCAGCAACAGTTGTGTGATCATTATGACCACCAGTTACCGCACCTACATTATCACGATTATCTGAACTTTCAACATTCCAACCTTCTAAAGTTTGATAAAGATGCAATAGGTTTTCTCGTAAAACCAATTCTAAACGAATAATTTTCTTATCATCTTGACTAATTCCTTTGAGTAGTTGATCTCGAATATCATGAATAAATTCCAAGAAATCAAGTGAATCCAACATTTGCATTGAATCTATCGAAGATTGTGTTGCAAGCAAATGAAATGTTGGAGCTAATGAATCCGGAAGGGATATTAACATCTAAAAAAAAGGATTTCAAGTTTAATAGATCTATTATATATATATTTTTTTTTTTTCAAATATGTTAAACATTTACTTCTAATTGAATTCTAGGATCTGTTATCAAATTAAGAGCTTTCATGAGTTGTTGTAAAAGAGCATCCTTGTTCTCTGCAGTATCCGCCTCATATTTACATAAGAGTCCCCTGAACACATTAATTTGATTGATTGGTTTCCTAATGAAAGTAACGACAAAACTTAGTTTCCACTAGGAAGAAAAAAAATATTAAGAGAACTGAGAAATTACTCGTACATGATTGCACATCCAAAAGGAACATGAACTCGCTTAATTTCACCTTGAGGTCCTATCAAAAAACATTTAGCCAATCCAGCATTTCTACATCCTCTTCTACCTTGTTCATAAAAACTTATCCCACCTCCCATACTAGTTCCAAGTGGAGCAGAAGCTGAAGTAACAACATGCCATCCTAGTCCAATTGAAAAATGTCCAACGCGTATCCCATGACGCATATGATGGATTTCGACAATGCCACGAAGGGGCGAATATATTACAAGAAATAATGTAATTCTTTTGCTTCTTTTTCTATATTTTATTTCTTCTATAAAAGATGATGATGTTGATGTCGACGATGGAAGATCATT